GGGGGGGCTTTAAAAAAAAAGCCAAAATAAAGCCTCCCCCTACAGGGGGTTAGGTAAAGGAGCCGAGGGGCTGTAGTCCTTAAACAGCTCCTCTCCCTCATCTGTGCCCCCCCCATGTGGCTCGTGGACTTGCGGTCTCCCTAGAACTCCGTGGAGCTTCCCTCCAAACGGACACAGGTAGAACTGAGTCGGGTGTCCCTGTTGACAACCTCCTTCCTCCTTCAGAGCAAGAGCAGGCACTGCCCTCCCCCGGCCCCAGGCCTGCTCCCATCCCTTCTCCCCCACAGAAGGCTCTCCTCAACCAGAGAAGCCCCCCCCCTCGGATTCTGCCACCCGAGGCACGTGCCTGCTTCCACTGCCTCTTGGGCGGGCCGGCCAGCCTTTTGTGGAGTGTGGAGCAAGGAAAAGGTGAGGTTGATTCATGTACACCCAGGGCTCCCTTGAGCTCCGTATAAGGGCTTTCAGTCACCTTCTGCTGCCTCCCCTCTCCCCAAAAGGGCCCAGGGAATGCCCAGCTGCTCACAAGCCCTCCCTCCGTGGCCAGAGTGCAGCATGCCAGAGCTGATGCAAGACCCTGTGAGGTCCCTGGATGACACCATCATTGGACATACTAGCCGGGATGTCCCCTTGAGTGGGTCCCCAGTCACTGGGCCGTTCCCCTCCCATCATCCCCCATTACTAACTACATCTGCCCCTGAGAGGAGGAGGCATAGAGAGCTGAGCAAGACACCCCCAAGGGGAAGTCTATTCTTAGCGGTGGTGAAAAGTTATCACAATAAATAGCACATGGAGACTAGTGCCGAAAGGTCAAGCCCCGCTCACTAGCACTGAGAAATCATCCTCTGCCTTCTCCTTTCATCTCTATCAATCAGTTTGGCTGTTCTCTCCCCCCCCCCCCATATATCTCTTCCTTCTCCTCCAACCAACTCTGTCACCGGTGTCCATGCCCTCTTGTTAGACTCACACAAGCAAGATAAACAGCTCTCTGCTTTTCAAAAGGTGACAAGGCAACCCAGAGAGCAGTCCCTCTGGTCAGCAATAACAGCAACAACAACACCGTTCTGCTTAGACTTAATTTCCTAAACGACTCTCTTCCGTCAGCCCAATACAGGCACAAAACGTTTAAGAAGAAAGTGTGAAGCATATTTTGGTTGTATGCTATGTTACAAAATAGTCTTGAGTTCTGTTTGATTGGTGTTGTTTAGTCGTTAAGTCGTGTCGGACTCTTCATGACCCCATGGACCAGGCAGGAGGAGAAAGGGACGACAGAGGACGAGATGGATGGAGAGGGTCACCGAAGCGACCAACATGAATTGGACCCAACTCCGGGAGGCAGTGGAAGGCAGGAGGGCCTGGCGTGCTCTGGTCCACGGGGTCACAAAGCGTCAGACACGACTTAACGACTAAACAACAATGCCAGGAGTGTGGTCTGTATTCTTGGTGTCTCTGCCTGAGCAGGTAGGTCAAAGCAGGAGCTGGGAAAGGGTGAATATCAACGGCTTTGCAGCCACCCTGGACACAAATGCCAAGCTCTCTCCTTCTCTAGTGCCTAGTGAGCTGAGATTCCTCTCCCCTCCAGGAGACCTGAAGAGCTATTCTTTGTGAGTTCAGTTGGCATCTCTAATTGGCATGCAGAGGAGATCAGCAAAAGAAGCCTCCGGGACTCCCAGGGAGGTACACCTGTTAGAGGAAAGGCTTCCACGCCTCAGGGTGCCTCCAGTTTTGTGGCATCAAACTCATCAGACAGGCTGCGTTGTACCATCTTGGCCCTCGAGCAAATGAATGCAAAGCTGCCACATCCAGTATTGCTCCCGCTGTCACTCTAAACGAAAGGCTGCCTGGCCTGCCCAGAAGGCCAGCCGTGGAGCCGTGGCTCTGGAGGGAAGGAGCTCCCTCTGTCCCACCACCAGCCAGGCTGGGAACTGGGAACCAGTGTGGGAATGGCTGCCTGGCTCCCGGGGGAAGGCTGCGCAGCTCTGAGAAATGCCGCAGGCGACAACAGATCTGACGTGAATGGAGAGGACAAGGTCAAGTCTCCAGATAAACAAAGGGAAAGGGTAACTCCAGGGCTTGCCCTGCGCCTGGGAGTTTAAGGCTTGGCTGGGGGCCAGCTCCCCCCCGTCTTTCTCTTCATCCCAAGCCGTCTCCTCCTCTGCCCATCCCTGAGTCCAGTCACCAACGGCACCCCCTCCAAAAACAGAAAATGGCCCAAACCCCAAGCAGAAATCCAGCAGTGGGTGTCCAAAAGACACCAAGCTTCTTTCCTTGCGATCCTTCTAATGAGCGGCCCCAAGGTCATGAACCAATCAGCCCCTTTTCCGTGTTAAGCGAACTGTTTATTTTAATAATCATCCTTACAACAACCTTGGGAAGTAGGCCACCGCCAAGGGCTCCCTAGGAAAAGGAGAAAGTGAGTGGCGTGAAGGTCACCAGGTGGATTCTAGGCAGAAGGGAGGTTGAGGCAGGGATGGTCTGCCACGCCAGAGAGCCTGCAAGGGATGTCTTCACCTGCCGTTTGGCCCCATGGTGGGTTTAAAGGGGGGTTATACAAACAGCTAGGAGGAGGCCTTCCTCCTGAGAGGCAGGATACACCCCAAATATCCATCACCAGGCAGGAGGAGCAGCCTGGTGACTGTTTGGCCACTCTGGGAAATCAGAAGCTAGGCTAGAAAGAGCAAGAACTTAAAGAAATATAGTTTCTGGATCACAGATCCTACAATGTCCCCAGTTCTGGGAGTCGTGACCCCCCAAAAAGTAACTTTTCAGAATCTTAAGAGGCGACTTCAGATCTGATCCCAGCAGGGACCTTTGGGAGTTATAATGGGGGAAGGGCAGGCAGAGTGATGCCCCCCCTCTCAGGATTTGGACCGCCGGTCCCAGAGGTTCCAGTCAACATGGTCATTGCCCAGAGATGATGAGATTTGTAGTCCAAAATCTCACGAGGCTACCAGGTCACCTATCTACTCTGTAGGACCATTTCCAACCTTCAGCAAGCAAGCAGCTTGGATGGAGGATGGTCCAGGCATTAAAGTTCTCACACAGAAACCTCAAAATATCGTAGGAACCTGAATATACTTAATAGGGCAATGT